GAGCTCGTGATATTACTTACTGGCAGAGATGAACAACGACATTGAAACTTATATCTCTCAATGTGCTGTCTGCAACAGTTATAAACCTTACCAGCAGAAAGAACCGTTGAAAATGCACCCTGTACCTGATCGACCATGGCCATAGGTTGCAACTGACTTATTCATGTGGAACAGACTGGACTATTTAGTCACTGTCGATTCTTATTCTGGTTGGTATGAGATCAATTCTTTGCCAAATACTACCTCGAGAACAGTAATACAAAAGCTGAAAAATCATTTTTCAAGATTTGGCGTCGCAGATCCGTTATTTTCAGACAATGATTCAGTGTACTGCAGCCATGAATTTAAACAATTTGCAAAAAAATGGGGATTTAAACACATTACCAGAAGTCCACATTTTCCCCAATCTAACTCGTATAGCGAAAGAGCGGAACAGTCTGCAAAAACTCTACTTGAGAAGTGTAAACGAGATGGCAGTGATCCTTACATTGCACTTTTGAATCAGAGAAATATACCAAGAGATGAAGTTTTGGAATCTCCTGCTCAAAGGCTGTTAGCTCGTCGTATAAAATCCAGCTTGCCAATAGCAAAAAGTTTGCTCGAACGAAAAGTTGTTCCAACGACACAAGTTCATGCTCAACTTACCCATAAACGCATGCAACAGAAAAAGTATTTTGATATAACAGCTAAGTCTTTACCACCACTTCGGAGAGGAGATAAAGTGAGATTACAAACAGACAAGGGTTACAACATAGTTGGAATTATTAAAAGAAAAGCTCCTGAGCCAAGGCCTCACATAGTTTCTGCAAATGGAAAAGAATACAGAAGAAATCGAAGACATCTTCTATATGTCAAAGGAATATTTGACCCCGCTATAGTGTGCGATGACTCAGATTTTGTGGACGTAAGCATGTCAATACCCGAGAACTATGTCCTGCATTCAACAAGCAATGCAGAAGTTGCGAAAAAATGAACCACTTTCAGAATGTATGCCGATGTAAGCCCGCAAAACCTCAGCACCAATTTCATCGAAAATTTCGCAAACCTGTAAATTCTGTAGATAAAGACACAGAATATCAAACACAAGAGGAACAAAATCATGAAACTACTAATTTTGAAACATATGAAGTTGGCTCACTTAATGACAATACACAAGCAGTGTCTGAATTTTATGCCAAGTTACTAGTTCATGGAATAGAGCATAATTTGAAAGTAGATACAGGAGCACGTAGCAATGTTATGCCTCTTAACTTATTTGAACGCATACGCAAACACGAATGGATTGACAAACGAAATCCAGCAAAACTTGTCAGCTATAGTGGAAACAATATTGATACATTAGGCCACACTTTGATCAATTGCATTCGTAATGGCTCTACATACAAATTGAAATTTCACATCATTGATCGAGAAGCGAAACCTCTCATTGGTTGCGAAGATAGCATCAGGATAGGACTGATCAAGCTTCATGATGTGCACGGGGTGAAACCAGAAAAGACGATAGCAAACACGTACAACTTGATGACAGAAGATTACAATGAACGTGAGTTCAATGATTTATTTGATGGGGAACTAGGAAAGTTACCAATCGAGTACAAAATCAAGCTCGATAAAACCGTTCGTCCTGTTGTTCGACCTTGCCGCTACAGATTTACGCGCATGCCATTTGGGATTGTTTCAGCCGCAGAAGTGTTCCAAAACACGATGGATCAATTGTTCAGTGATTGTCCATGTCATATCATTGTTGATGATATACTAATTTGTGGTCGAGATGTCGAAGAACATGATGGAAATTTACGCCAAGTTTTACAAAGAGCTCGCGAAGTCAGTTTGAAGCTGAAGCTGAAAAAATGCAAGTTTAAAACAATAGAAATTTCATACATTGGTCATCTACTTACCAAGGATGGTAAAATTGTTTCACTGCGGAACGCCATGACACCGATGAAATGAAGGAACAAAAATTCATTTTAAAAAAAACAAATAATATTTTAATGTAATAATGATCTTATTGGAGTTCAATTGCATGTTCCAGCTGTACTATAATCACTCGTGAGAGCTTGTTCCATGTTTAAAATAACTATTAAATTGCCTGATTGCTTAATCTCTTAATGAATATGCCTATTAGTTTATTGAACATTTCATTTTTTGTAAATATGAAATATTGTCATCGCTGAAAAAATTAGTCTATTGCGATTTGGTCTTCTGCGGATATTTTTCATTTAGCATCCTGCACTATTCCTAAACAATTCCTATTTATCGACAAATATAGTTATGAGAGATTGCCGTTCATTTATTATACCCTGCGTTCCTTGAGATACACGATGAGGTAGAAAAACTAATTTCTGAAATTTGCCAAAGGATGAAAAAGAGAGAAAAGGCGTCGAATACATGGTTCAGACAAGCATGAGTTCGATCCCTTTTTTTCGTTTTCATCCTTTGGCAAATTTCAGAAATTAATTTTTCTACCTCAACCATTCTAAGTAAATTTTTAGTGAGCAATGCATAAAGTAGCTCTAGGCCAGACATTCGCTGCCATCTCATTTGTGACGACTGTTGACTAATATATAATTCGTTAGTTGTTGTTGACTAGTTTACTAATTTAGTTATATATTAGACATTTAAAATCTAGACTCCGATATAAAACAATATTTTAATAAGAAGTTAGGAGCGTCCAATTGGGATTGCCCGTTAATTAGATATAGGAGTTGAACAACCTTTTCCTAACCTTTTACGGCTCAGTTCAAATAAATATACAATCAACAATAATAAAATATAAGACACGACATAAATAATAAAATTATACAATCATAGGCAGAAAGATGGCATTTTTTGACCAATCGCCATCTGGCCATACCGTCCGCATTGTAATTATAGTCAAATATATTGTAAAATCGATGGAATAGCCTAGTTAACAGGGTAAAAATGAATATGAGACCATTGTTTTATGTAGATGGAAAATTACCGGTATTGTCTCGATGATTAGAGTCTAAAACCAAAGAGGAATTGGAGTTATGGTCAATAATTTTACAAATTGAAAATTTCCTATAAGAGAGCATGATAATACAGCCTCTGAAATAACAACTACAACATGTTTCACGACCTCCCATTTACGCATGGATATACGTTGATATCGTGCGTGTACTTCATACTACTTCCCAACGTTTTCCCATTTTCCGTTAATCTATCAGCTTGATCTACACAATAATCGTAAGACAATTATGAAATCTGGAATTACCTTAGTAAACTGCAATTCCTTAATGCGCCAAATTTTATTGACGCCAAGTGAAATGATAATATGTTACAACTGGGAATAGTCCTTCTGCTAATCCCGATGTCGGGATTGATGTTTGGTAAAATCACGGAAATTCATTGTTGTATGACGGTGGCTATATGGCAGGGGTTCCTAAAGTTGATTGGACGCCGGGCAAAATTTGAATCAGAAGGATATTCGCGGGCAGGAAAGGGGAGCGGACAAAAGGGCGAGAAAGAAGTGGGTTTTCAAGGCGCACTCAAGAGACCTAAGGACATTTTAAAGATAGGCACTAAAATAGGCTGCAAACTTGATATTAATACCCTAGCATTGCAATTTGTTATGTAATGAAATTAATAATTATAATAGTTGGGTGATAGGATACCCGAGCAATACCAAGAACGGCTTTCAACAAGGAATTTGCAACTGATATCGCTTAATCAAGATAGTTGATCATCTGGCATATGCCTCGTATAAATGACTACTTATGGTTTTGAATTGCTACGTATATAATATACACGTGCTTTGACTGTGATATTGACGATATCTGGCACGCATAAACGTAAAAAAATAAAGCGTATTTATTTACGTTCAAACTATTTCAGTTAAGTTCGGCGGACCATTCAATACCGTTACGCGGGCCGTAATTGGTCTCGGGCCGCGGTTTGGTAACCCATGCTATATTGGAATGACCTCCTGTGATCGGTAAAGAACGAGAATATCGGTCAGCTACCGAAGACTTATCGATCGAAAGTTAGGGGATCCCTAAAAACAGCGCTCTCACTCCATAGTGACACCTTGTGTCCCATCACTAATTAATTAATAACTCGCTAATTATACGACATAATTCATCCAAAACCAATAGGCTTCTGGTCCGACATATGATGAATGCAAAATCTGGAGCAGATTCAATCTCGCTTTCGTGAGATATCGCGTGCATCTAACAGACAGACAAACAGACAAATACCTATCAACATACTTACCGATTAAAATCGATAAGTAATGAATTGTCGTGTGCAGACAAGACCAAGCCGATGAGCTCGCGTCAAGTAACTCCTCATTTGAAAAGACGTTTTGTGCCATTATTTTAGTCAAGTCACTCCTCAATTTTCAAGCATTGGCCATGTGAGCAGTGACGAACCGCAGAGCTGACTTAGCGCCGCGCAATTCAGTTTTTTCAATATTTGGGTCCGAGGTCCCAACATAGGCGTACTTGGTTGTTTTTTGACGGTAGCATTAGGCCTGCTCACGCTACAAGTAGCAAAATTCATCACACAATGACTATAGAAAAAAGGTAACCGAAGTAAACTGAGAATAAACGTATTTCCTTACCCACAACAACGTTAAACCACATTGTTTGGTGTGTTTTCAAGTAATATCTGCGCGAAAGAAGCGACATTACAAAACCAAACACGAGGAAATATACCGAAAATACCACGGTATTTCTCGGGAGGCAATTTTAAAATAACTAAGGGCTTTATATAGTTTCCTTGAAAAACTGATTAGAACGATAACTCTCATTCCTAAATATATAAATTTGCGACCCTTCACCCTCGCAACTTTGGACCACCCTGATATAAGGCATATCATACAACTTTAATCGATGACATACTGTATATATCGCTAATAATATTATACCATTCCTGGCGATTATTTTTCAAATTAGGAACCGCGTGACTATAAATCCCTCAGGCGCCAATTTGTTCAATAAAAATCCCACACAAAACATACTATCTGAATATACATTCAGGTCAGGTCTTAGAATGAAGATGGATTATATAGTTTCTGTGATGTTTATTACTGTCGCAGGATCGCAACAATTTCAATTGCAGGTATAAGCTAGTGGTGAAACTTAATTCATTTGAGTTGTTTTTTCTAGCGTGAAGGGGAATTTATTATTTAAAGAAAATTGTGATGACCGAAAAGTACAGTATCGCGAGAATCACTGATGCTGAAAATTATCAGTGTCGCGGAGTGTGGGGCATTTTAAAATTTGCACCTTATATATTTAGCATATTTCATTTCCAAACAGAAACTAGAGTATTAGAAATTCAAAAATGAAACTATAGCTGTATTTAAGCTGATTATAAAAACATAAACCATCAATATCCGCTCTCTCTCTCTCTTTATAATATTTATATAAATATAACTTTCAATGTTCTGAATAAATTGCGAAGAAAATATGGAGCGCTTACGATATAAACTCCTGTGAATCTTCTAAAGAATTTTTCTTTCTTATTTAAAAATAATAATGTACAAAAAATAAATGATAAAGGATCACTGTTCTTTAGATTGTTTGATCACCCTTCAATATTATGCAATACAGAATTAGAAACTGTATTCATAACACAAATATAATATATATCGCATCACTAAATATTATATTATCAAGTTTATATCATAGTTTTATTTTTATTTTAGATACTAACATCGCAACTTCAGATTTGGGTTTGACTAAGAATATTACTTCTGATCAAAATTCGTCAAATACGAATATTACGTACAATACCGTGGAAGACATTGCTGCCAGAATCACTTTGCCGGTCAAAACATCGATTGATTCTAATAAAGGTATATGTAGGATACAATAGTTTTCATGGTACAAGTTTCAGCCACTGAAAAATGCCGTCACTAATTTTGATCATTTGTTTCGGAATTTTGTTATAAAGTGTAGATTGATTAGTCAGACTATCTCAGTTTGCTATTGAGTTAATGGAAAATTGTTTTGGAGTTTTCCTGACATCATTTTGTGTTTTGAAAGGCTTTTTTATGACTTACTCAAAAATATGAAACTATTCCCCATCTTAGAATGTAAGTCCGTATTGACATGCCAACTGTGAACGTGCTCAAGTTAGCATTATGTTTCCGTAACACTATTTTACTATTCATTTGGGCAATCCTATACTAATGATATTATATAGTACTTTTGTTCAAATATCTAAAAAGGGAGATAGGTGTCCATAAATTTAAAATAATTATTACATAGTGAAATGATGAGATATTGCAAAATTAGGAATTTCAATTTAATAGGCAAAAAACATAGGAAAGGTTGGACCCTATGATTTAGCAAATTGTGCGAAGTAAATTTTTTAAATTTAAATACACACGTGAACAATTTTTATTATACAAGTCTGCAGTAAGACTGGCTAATAAAGCGATTGGCTGGCTGACTGACTAAAAAGATTTATGAGGATTTCAAAAAAAATTGAAAAAAAAACAACTTTACAAGTTTCTTCTATTTCAGGAAATACTGTCCCCCCAAGAGCCTCGGGTTTAAGTATGGACATCACTTCTAGTATGATTTACTCTACTGTGTCGTCGAATAGCACTAACATTACAAATTATACATCGGAAGTGACTGCAAGCACTGCATCGACAAGAAACCCAGTGATTCCTAATAAAGGTATGTGGCACAAAGAGACTGATGATAAATTTGGTAAATTGTTGTTGTTATTTTTGCGGTTGTTGGATTTTGAAAAATTATTTCCGCCCATATAATGGAAAAAAATATTCACGATAATCGTGAAGAATACAGTGTTGAAAATAAAACGAACGTATGAAAATGCAATATTACATTTCTGCCGTTTTTTGTTTCGCAAATTATTCTGGTAAATTCATATATTATTATTGTTGGTGTGATCCATACATAAGATCGTTTAGAACTTATTGTTAGCTTCGTTGGGGTGCTGTCTGAAGTTTTATCTGGGTTTTTAGTACTATTAATCGACACGGTATTGCGAAACATCGGTTTTTAAAGCCAAGCTAATCGTTTGCATGTGAATTTCGAAATATAAAATATACTTGCATTCATATATTTAATTAATATTAGTATTTCAAGAAAAGACATATATCTACTAAATTAACGTTTGTCCAATTTTTGCTGAATATTTTTCAATCTTAGAGGTACATTGTTTTTCATTTAAATGCCTAATGACATCACATTAATGCATTTACTCACTAGTAAACTCTTGTATTAAAATGATCAAAACCTAAATAATTGACCCTTCCCTTCTTGTCAACACCGAAATACTTTTATTTGTTTTGTTTTTTGCCATACAAAAAATCAAACAACTTGTCACATATACTAATGGGCTATCACATGATGTTTGTATTTTATTTGCAAAATGCAATCTACGTCAACTTTCACATATCATTCCCTACATACTGCAGATTACCATATCAAAACATATCAATTGTGAATACATTCCCTAATATGAAATCGTAAGTATATTATATATAAAAGTAAGAAACTATGCGTAATATATAAAATGTGATATTGACTGAATGAATTTTTTTCTTAGTGTCGAAAATCCCGAAAAACAAAAGAGACGTAGTAAGAGGATGCCCATATTATTGTTTAGTGAATAAAAAAACTCGTAAAATGCGCAACTGCTATGATGAAATTACACGTATGTATGATAAGTGTAACTTTATGTAATAAACAATGTTTTTAAATATGTACGAATGATGTTTTAATTTTTTTAATTTTTGTACTCTAACTTTGTTGAAATGAAGTTTTTATTATCGGTAAGTTTTGAAATAATTCAATCACTGTAAAAAAACGTTGAAGAATTTTTCGAAATTTTTTCAATCAGGTATATACGACACATGACTAGACACAATTAGAAATATATTATAGATTAACGTATTCAGTATCCAAATTGCAGTATTGTAGTTACTAACATTTATTACTAACATGTAGCTACTAACATTTATTTGCTTCATTTATCATTTCAAAAGTTTGTGAGCTGAGGTCTTATGAAGGAACGGAAAGATTGTCTATACCAGGGGCGTACCCAATAGTCTTTTCAAAAAAGCTTGGGGTTCAAAAAAATGAGAATAAAAAAATATGCCTTGCAGCGACTTCTAAAACAGGCGCCGCGATTATGCATCAGTTAAAATTGTCTTTTCAAATAAATTTTGAGCGGATAGTGATTTATCTGTTACGTAAAATATTCAATCACTTCAGCCGAAGTGAGCATTTAAACTGTCTTGGCATAATAATTTAATTTTGTTCGCCTTACCGTCGACCTACTGTAAAATAAAAGCATTACTGCTCTAAAAAAAAACTGTGGCAATCTGCGGACACAAAATACGAGATTCTCTACCGGGTTATAAATAGATTAAATTCGGATTTTTGTGACCTTGGGATTTGTCAAATACGAACTATTCTTTCAGCACTAACTGCCACATAAGATTATTTTTGAGATATCGCTGTTGGAAAAATCCCAGGGTCTGCGTTAAAATTCCGAAGAGTACAATTCGCAAATGCGCGAAGTATTCGAAAATGTCTTGCTTAATAAATTTTAATATATATGTTCAATATAACCTGCTTTTGCGTTGACCAAAAATATAAAAGCACATTATCACTCTGAAATGCCGCGGTCATAAAAATGTGTGGCAATGTGTCCGATTATATCTAGTTTCGACTCGTATTTGTAGGGACAATCATATTGAGTTTCGGTATTTCGGGAAGAACTCGTATTATTAGCAGTAAATCGGGTTCAACTCAGATTTGTTGAATTAGGACAAAACCAGTTGGTCATAACAATTCTTAGTTGTTGTGCGTAATTCGCGTCGCAGGCCGTAGCCCGGGGACAAAACATATTGTTTTGATCGGACAATAGAGATTAAAGCTCATGCCGTGCTTGATAGTACATTAAATTAGGGACTCAAAGTATTATACGGGCTTGTCCATGGGAAACGTCCGATGGGATGGGGTGGGACAGCACACATTTGTATTTCCCATGAGAGACCAAAACCCTATGATTTTTGAGGAAATGATGGTAAAACAATTTGTTATGGACTTCGTGTCCATCTATTTGAGCATAGCTCTCTTGTTAATTATAAAGAGCAAAATATATTCAGCATTAACAATATACTCCGTGAAGGAGCTGATGGACACACGTATAATATTTATGAATATAAAGTTAACAAAGTCCGTAAATTTTGTTGTTTTGCATGTCTCTTCGTGCATGTAGTTCTATTTAGTAGACGCTAAACCTAAATTTAACAATTTTTATTGAATTTTATTCCAATGGGAATCCCATGGGATGGGGACAGGCATAATTACTATATGGGATGAGAATGGGACAGGAAAATATGTCCCATGGACAAGCCTGGTATTATATATAAGCACGTCATAGTTTGTATTAAAGAATAAGTTGGGGAGAGTCAAGAGGCCGAAAGTAACAGTATTTATCCGTAAGATACTGGAGAATTGTGACGATCAAGTTGACAATAAATTATCCATTGTGAGCTGGTGAATTCTGATATCTTTAAATTCGTTGTTCAATAATACTATAAAAAAGGCTATATATTTTCCGAAACGGTGAAATTTTCTACCAAGCATAATGTGTTCCGCAAGCACGCCAAATTTTGCGATTTACAATGCCCGAAAAGGCATTTTTAATCTGTCGCCGGCCTCCTAAAACACTATGGTGTTTCCTTCTTTTTATTTTTATTGTTTCACAATGTCGCTTTTCAATCAAAAAATTTAATAACTCGATTTTTCACAACACGGCTCACAATTCTGTGCGAGAACCGATCAGTAATTATCGCCGTCCTCGTCGTTATCGTTTGACAAAATACAATCGCACGCATGATTAGCGACTTACATTTTCTTAAAATTGCAAACCCCAACTTGTTACGCCTCTGGTGTATTCAAATTCCAATATTTAATACAAATAGCGCTCAGTTGTTTATGTTTTCGAAACGAAATTATTTGTCTCTTATCTTAATGTTTATGGTTCGTATAACGAAGGTTCTTGAATCATCGTTACTTTATTGCAGGTCCCCAACAGATAAAGTGTCTAACGTGTCGTTACAAATGGGCGAGATGCAAAAAATACGACGTTATGTAAGTATGATTGAATATAAATTCATCGAAAGATAAATAATGTTAAATTAGTGTTTACAAAGTAAATTTATTAAATATAACATAGTTTTTGAAAGATGATTGTACTGTTTGATCCCCAAACAGATTGATCAAAACAGATTTAACTTACGGATTTAACCCAGCACTCTATACTCAAAGTACACACGCTCGCAGCACACAAGATAAGACTGTATTCCCTCGACCAATCAACACGGAGTAACATAATACAAGGTTACGTGTTACAGTGCACGCAAATTCGTATTCGGAACATTTTCAGACTGAGCAGCATCTGACAGATCAAATTTATCGTCAATAACAATAAGTGTACGTTCATGAAACTTTTTAACATGAGTTACGTTTTTCTTGTATTTCACCCCTTCAGGTGATTCTACAATTAAATTATTGCCTGTTTTATTTTTAACTAACACTTGATCTCCTTCAATATCGTTTTCACAAGCTCTTTGCCTTTGATCAGCATATATCTTCCCCTTTCATCTCAGATTCATGATCTCTGATACCTTGATCATCTAATGAATATTGTTGAATTGCAGGAAGTTTGGTTCGAAGTTTGCGTTTGAACATCAACTCTGCTGGAGATGCACCAGTTGTTGCATGTACTGAGCTTCTATACATCAATAGATAGGTATTCAAACTTTTCTTCCAATTCTTGTCTTCAGCTTTCGCAATTTTCAATCTCTTCAATAGTGATCTGTTTTGCCTTTCTATTTCCCCATTTGCAGCAGGATAATATGGTGTTGTCTTCCTGTGCTGGATTCCATTTTCATTCAGGTATTCCGTTCAGTATTTATGCTATACGGATAACCATGTCTAGAAAACATATCTTGTAGACTTTCGATTAATTTCTCAGATGTTGTAGATTTCAAAATGGATATTTCATAATAACGGCTGTAATAATCAACACAAATATATTTTCTCCAGATGGTAAAGGACCTAGTATATCTGCAGCAACATCTACCCATGGACCATTTGGTAATTCAGTTCTCACCATCGGTTCAGGACATTCAGATTGTCCGGTCATTTGACATCCATAGCATGATTTACAATATTTCTCAGCATCATTGTTTATTCCTGGCCACCAAACTTTTGTTCTTAGATTTTGTTTCATAGCGACTATTTCAGGATGTCCTTCGTGACAAATCGCTAAAACTCTCTTTCGCAGTGTTTTAGGAATTAGAATTCTAGTTACTACTCAAGAGTCATTTTTCAACAACACTCAACTCTTGTGTACTCTCAAGTAGTTTGTCAATTTTCCTTTCGGCCAGTTTTCGTTTTGCAAACATTCTCTTACTGAAGTCAATTCATTATCTTGGAATGATGCTCTTTCAATATCTCTGGTTGTTAATGCTCTTGGTGTTGCATGAATGGCAATGAATTTAACATATTCTTCAGTTTCATCTGACAATTTCTCGTTTCGTTCACCATTACTTTGGACTAGTCGAGACAATGTATCAGCAATATTTTTATGACCTGGTATATGCTCAACCTTATACATATATGGTATCATCCGTAGAACCCATCTCTCGATTTTCGCACTTGGTTCTGATTTGGTAGAATAGATGAATTCAAGCGGTTTATGGTCAGTCAACAGTTCAAACTCGATACCATAGAGATAGACATGAAATCTTTCGCATGTCCAAACTATTGCCAATGCTTCTTTCTCTGTCTGGGAATACCTTCTTTCCACATTAGTTAAACTTCGGCTTGCAAAGCAAATGACTCGTTTTTTTCCCTTTTTGCTCTCGCACCAACACACTTCCAAGTCCTACTGGACTGGCGTCAGTTAAAACTTGTGTTTTAGCATTTTTATCATAATATCCCAAAATGCTTGCATTTGACAGTCTTTGATTTAATGTTTCAAACGAGAGTTTTTGTTTTCGACCCCATCTGAACTTTTCTCCTTTTCGTGTTCTCTCTCAATGGTTCTGACAACGTTGCGAGGTCGGAAATATATCGTGCACAAAATTGAGCTAAACCAAGAAAACTTCGTATTTCGCTAGCATTTTCAGGTTCTCTTGCGCTTTTGATAGCTTCGACTTTCAATTTATCAGGACAAATACCTTTGCTTGTTACATACAACATGTCCCATAAATTCAATTCTGGGCATTCGGAATTGACATTTTTCTTTATTCAATGTGAGATTCAAATTTTGGATATGCATTAGAAGCTTTTCCAATTTTGCATCATGATCGGTTTCATTTACCCCATAAACAACTATATCATCGAGACTCCATCAAGTCCTTGTAATGCTTGTTGCAATATTCTCTGGTACTGTTCCGGAGCAGAACTGATACCGAATAAAAGACGTTTATATCTGTATAACCCTTTATGAGTGGCAAATGTAGTTATACCTCTCGAGTTAGGATGCAATTCAATTTGATGGTAAGCCCATTTAATGTCCAATTTTGAAAACAGTTTACCTTCCCCAGAGTCTTGTAATATTTCATCCACAGTAGGTATCGGATGTCTCTCTCGTATGATAGCACGGTTAGCTAATAGCATATCAATACATAAACGAATATCTTTGCCATTCCGTTCCGGAGATATCACTGCCGGAGAAACCCAGGGAGTCGGACCATCTATTTTTTCAATAATATCCAAATTTTCTAGCTCATCGAGTTTGGCACTCACTTGGTCTCTCAAATTGTAGGGAATTCTACGAAACGGTTGGGCAATGGGTTTAACACTTTCATCGATAGGTAATTGCAATTGAAACCTTTTAAGTTTACCAAAACCTTCAAAACATTTAGAATATTTCCGCAAAATATTAGACTTCTGACTAACAGAATTAACATCAGGACCCATTTTCATTTTCAAAAGACCCAAATTTATAGATGCTTGTTAGCCTAATATTGGTTGGCCCTTGTTTTCGACAACAATAAATTCAATAAAATCAGCGGCTCCATTCTCAACCGAAACATGAGCTTGAAACACACCGGCTACATCTAATGGATAATCACTACCATAAGCAAAAAGATTTTTAGTAATTCGTCTCTGGTTAGAGCATTTTACATGGTTTTGTTTCAAATATTCCCAGGCTCTACGATCAATAATATTACAACTTGCACCAGAATCAATTATCATTGGTAAATCTACACCCCCAATAGTAACTACTATTTTTTCAGAATCAAATTTCGAAGAATTATACACATGAAAAGTAAATTTATCTTCAATTTTATTTACATTCTTGCGGCCTGATTGAAGTTTCGATTTGCAACATCTGGCAAAATGGCCAATTTTCTTGCACTTTCTGCATTCTTTTGCTCGTGCTGGACATATTAAATCTCTGGCAAGATGTCCCACATTACCAGATCTAAAACATGTCAGTTTTTCTTTTCTATTGGTAGAAAATGTATTTTGTACAGTCTTACTCTTATTTCCTCCTCGTAGAAAATGAATGGTCTCCGTCTCATCATGATGAATTACTTTTGCTTGCGACTCTGCAGCTTCCCATGACCTTGACTTCTCTTGTAATTGTTTTAGAGTTAGTTTTCCACCTTTTCCAAGCATAATTCGTCGTAACTCTTGGCTGGAACATTTTACAATAACCTGGTCTCCAATAAAATTCTATTTCCCCTTCGAATTCACAGGTTTCAGTTTTTTGCCATAATCTGGTTACATATTGATCGATTGTTTCACCTTCATTCTGTGACATTTGTCTGAAAACATGCCTTTCAAATACAACATTCGTCTGAGGTATGAAATATTCGTTCAGTTTTTCCACAGCTTCATTATAGTTGTCACCAGTATTTGTTAAAGTTTCGAATATTTCTTGAACTTGTGGACCCACATGGAACAAAAATGCAGCACGTTTTTGCGCTGGATTTTTTATCGCTTTGCTCGCAATGAAACATTCGAAAGATCTCTTCCAACTCCGCCATCTTGAACCGACATTAGTAGGGTCGCCATTGCAGTCAAATATTGGTAGAGTATATTCTCTAATTTCATGGTTTGTATATGCCATTTCTTGAAAATATTCATATATACTTGTTCTACACGCTGCCTTCATTATCCTCATCGCCAAATTGTACTGTTTGATCCCCAAACAGATTGATTAAAACAGATTCAACTTACGGATTTAACCCAGCACTCTATACTCAAAGCACACACGCTCGCCGCACACAAGATAAGACTGTATTCCCTCGACCAATCAACACGGAGTAACATAATACAAGGTGACGTACTAAGTAGTTGGAAATAAATGTAATTTTGTCCGAACAAAAATTTAACAAAACGATTGATATGTTCCCCTTGTGTCCAATAATACATTTTGAATATAGCAGCGGTTCTTAACCTGGGGGTCGCGCCCCCAGGGGCGTCAGAGATATTTAAGGTGCGCCGAATTGTATGGATCTAACCCAGCAATGTCACTGCACGATCGTTTATTGCTACAAGACGCCAGTTTTTCGAATGTTCACAAGATTAAAACATTGAACAAACATCATCGATAAATGCATGGGCAAACAAAAGCAAGTGAGTAGACGCCGAATGAATAAAGACACGTACGTTTAAGAAATCAGTAGAACGTAATAACTCAGTTGTCTAATAAGATGTTTGCAGAAGGTGTTATCACTAATTGTATATATTATCAATTTTTTTTTATATTAAGGTTCAGAAGTTAAAATCTTCATGTATATATTGAAAATGTCAATTGAAGAAGACGTCATAGTTTATTTTGGTGAACAATCTAGTGAATTCAACTTTGATGGACATCAGAACCGTCAACGAATTTCATGCGCATTTTGCACGTGTTGTTTATAATGTACACATATTTTTACGTTTCCATATACTATCAAATCTGTTACCTTTGCTACTACAAGTATAAAGGTTGCCGTTTTCAATAAATAACCAATCCAGAATTTTGAGTCTTCTGCCCTGCTAACACGTACCATAAACATACTGTGGCACACCCAATTCTATTAAATGCCAAAGCAACACTGTGTCTCTTTTTGGAGTACCCACGTTGAAGTATTGTAACTAAGGACTGACTAAGGAAAAAAAAATTGTAACTGTCTTCAATTGTGGGACAATGGTCTTATAATGATCCTCTAGGCTAGGTAACTGTATATGAATTGTTCATCCCATTTATCAACGCAAAATCCCTGACTTTTCCAAGTAACCTGAACGAGTGAATGGAATATTCAACATAATATCGATCATCATTCCCCGTAGTAGTAGCTTAAATGGCAGACATACAATCTGAAATGATAATGTCCTAAACAACGTCAAATCTGCAGTTTTTCATCTCATTGACGTCCCAAAATGTATACAATCGACATGTTCATTATACTATTAAGTTTATTTAAGTTTTTTTTTTAGTTGAGTTCCTCATTTTCAATTAGTTTGCGGGGTTTTTATTCATGTTTAGTTAGCTGAAGCAATCATGCCAACTTTGTTTTTAAAATTATTATTCTTTCTTCGGAGTTGTGTTTTTTTTTATATAATATGATATTAATAATGAACAACTATCTTTTTAGTTAAAGTTTCATTTTTTGTACAACGTTTTGTTCATGAAATCGATTTACTTGCTACTTGGATAACTACAATTGAAAATATGTCATTGAATATATTAATGGTGCTTGAGACTGTACAATGATTGATGCGTTTTTTAAATAACATATTATAGATATTATCCCAAAAACTTATGCTAATTTGATCATGAAATCGCCATGGTTCTGAGTGTTGTGTTCTACTTGTGGGGTTCACTTCACACGCATAACATATTTGGTCAAGATCAGGAGTTAAATCTAATAACGACCAGATATCAGCAAGCTCAGCAAGATCTCTTCCTCGTTGGTTGTTCTCCCGTCTCCCAACACGGAAATGACTTGAAGGAAGGAAATGGCAGAAAACTTATTACAACTAAATACTTCAATGAAATTAACAGAACAGAAAAGACACAATGAAAATAACAAACACCAGGCACCACAAAGCAAGAAATATATTATATACAAGAAAAATCTTAACCCCTAAAATCCGCTACATTACACCTAAGCACTGACAATCCTACTGACTAGCAATAAAATATCTAAACATACCTTATCAAAAACCAACACACTTGGTAACCTACTTTAAAGCTAGAAACTATTTAACAGACATAAAAAAGCCCTAAAATACACGAAATCCAACTGAAACAACCTCAGATGCATTGTCACAACTGGTAGCCTATCCTAACTGGATAACAAAAGACAGATTGACAGTGTTATAGTGCCATCAGTGCCCCCGAACATTGAAAAGCAAATTCTAATAGTGTGATCAAATATTGGCATTTAAAAGATAAAAATATGGTTCGTCACACTGTTTTCCGTGAGGATCGATAAAAAATAGCTTAAAACGCAAGGTATGATGATTTAAGTTCCGGTGGGACGTTCACGTTGAATAACCTGAAGATTCCAAAATTGATACACTGACCTTCTACTTCATTTTAACAAAAGTGGTGTCATTCAGTATAATGATAAACTGCCAGCACAGTTACTGACCAATCTATTTTTGCGTACTATATTACACTCTAAGAAATCTTTACCGGCAATCGCCTGGCATTACATATTACAGGAATATAGTTGTGAAATTTTAATGTGATTTTAGGGTAAAAATTACTTGAATTTTCGGTAAAATTGCTGTAGATCACCTGTGAATTTTACAGGATATCCCTAGTAATTCTTACAGTTTTTTACGGTAATTTTTACCGGCAATACGCAGTAATATTTACCGACGCTAACCTGTGAATTTACATTAAAAATTCGGTGAATTTACATTCAGAACCCGGATAAAATTACCGTAAATATCCTGGCATTACATTTTACAGGACATGAACAGTAAAAATCACAGACTATTTTAGGTAACAAGGTTTATTTATAAAATAAATGTGAACGTGAAATGAATGATAAAAGTTTGAAAATAATGGAAAATTGTATAGTGAAACTTTAGAAACGCGAGGTAGGCAGAAACTTCTCGTTTAGAAGTTTTTGCTTACAGGGTGTCCACTTATATAGCCACTTCAAACAAGTCTCTATTGACAGCCCCTGAAATCCAAGAAGAGAATGGTATTGGCAGAAGAGGAGTTTTTCCGGGTTAGTGTTGTCCGTGCTGAATGTATTGCACTATCCCAATGTTTCCACAAAATCATGGCATTTTCTTCTTCATATCTTCAAGTTATCTGAAATGGAATGTACAAGAAGTTTCAACAAAAAAAAGGCAAAATTTGAAAATACTATTCGATTTGCAAATAAAATTCAACATTTTTCAGTATTCAATCAACCAATCCGGTCTTTTTGCAACTTCTGGAAATATTTAATGGCGTGTACTAGCATTCATTACAATATCCAACCTTTCTATAAACTTCCATATTTTTCCCAGTATATTGCATACCTTTGTAGATCAGATGGAAACGGTATCTGGAATTATATTCAGAAGAAATCAAGCATTTAATACTCCCTGAAATCACACTCCAAATACATATTCCCAAAGCAGATGACAAAGTATCTCTTTTTGCAATTTAAAATTAACATTATAACCAACCTCAAATACTTCTTCTTCCTCATAATAACATGTTAGTAAATCCAATAATGTCAAATTTGAAGCCTAAGCCTGCTGTGGCAGACAATTTGTTCATGCCTTCATAATTAGATTCTTCAGTTTTCCAAAGGGAAAACACTGTTGAAAGCAATGTATTCATACCCAAACTTCATTATACTTGTATGATGAGTAATTTATGTGCATTTTTAATTTTACAAACTCAAAGCATGTACCAGTAAATTGGGCTGGCCTAAATCAAATATTTAATTATTCCCAATAACGCTTGAAACAATTTTTAAATATGTAATATAAAATATGTTCAAATTCTGTATATGAATCTAATCAGTAAATAATTATATAGGCATATAATTAAATGATACCTGTATATTTCAAAGCCATATTCTTCAAGCTACAGTGTATTAATGCTGCAATGCAGTAACAGAGTAATGGTTCAACATCACCCCTTCTCCCAGTCTCTTGTTCCCCGTAGATCTGCGATCGACACGAAGCGTCTGTTGATATTTTCCCCCTTATCTTAATTCCGTAATTAGATACCAACATTTCAAAGCCAGAAAGCCTAGATCTGTATAAGGGCCATTCCAAGCAAAAGTTGAATTCCATCAATTTTTTAAAAAGTGTAGTGAAATTATTTTTTTTTTACTTTTGATATCAAAAGACATTGGAATTTTATTGGACTGCATTCATTTCATTGAACAATTTAAAATTTCACCAGGTTTTTGATGGTTTTTAAAAATGGCCTGAAATGTATAAATTTTGGTATAATTGACATATTTTGTGATGATTCCTGACACAAAGTGTTTGATTGTGTGGTACAGTTAGTTCATATGGAATTGACGCACTGTGTTAGCGAGAATCATAAAGTGTTTCTAATTTGATGACGTTTTACGTTGTTACGCAGACGTTGCAAACGTATCGACGCAGCATTATTGCGACATAGTCCTGTTTCTCGATTAATCCCGGGAATTCTAAATTATCGCCACGCTGCTTCGGTGAGTTGGCACCTTCTGTCCTTGTATATAGTGTAATCTATTGCGCTAGGAGTTGTTTATCGTGTTTAACATTGGGTTTACTATTCGCGGTTAGGATAAACGATTCGAATTGAAATTATTAATTGGGTTTAAAATCAACGGTTCATACGGGAGTTGTAATATAATGTAGGGATACAGGTTAGGGTTGTATTATAGTCCAAATAGAATGATAACTGTTGTTCTTTATATTTAGTCACATAAGTTAAGTTGTATTTACTTTGGATTATAAATTGTTGAATTGAGTTGCCTGGAGATCCTAAACATTCGGTATGTAAATATTGTTTTATCTTGTATGATTTATTCTGTATTTTAGTATTGTGAATACTATTTTATCCTATGTGATTTAATCTGTACATAATTGTGACATATGGTTATCTGCTAATTGATGTGAATTGTTATTGCTTGTAAAATGGTAATGCTGTTATATTTGATTAATTGTGCCATATAAGCTATTTAGTTTTATCTATTATTTTGGCAGAAAACCGTTCCTTTAACAACGTTACGTTACGTTCCATTAACAACGTTCCTTTACGTTCCTCATACCCGGTATCAAGATTTACGTTACGTTCCATTAACAACGTTCCGTTTCCGGTACCCGGCAAGTTCTATTTTCCTGATTCATGTTTCGAGATTTGATTTGAAGTGTCTGTTGATTGTTATTAAAGATATTCACCGATTTCAAGTTGAATTATATTGGGGCAGCATTTGAAAGGCACAGAAGAATCTGGCGGCACTTTAACCGCTGTTTACAGACTTTAATTGCTTGAAAGCACGGACTAGTTGTAACAATTAACCGATATAGGTTTGGGGTCAGGACTGGGGTATTGGGACGCGTTTTTGAAGTCTCCAATCTCTTAATGTGCGTGAGAAGTAACCAGGCTACATAGAATCGAGCGCAACATTAAAGTTTTCGAATGAAGGAAAACTGAAGTTTTCTATTTCGAAATCAAACCAGAGTATTGTAAGCAGCAATTGAAAGATATCAAACTTTTCAATTGATCCTAGATTGAGTGAAGAAAGTCACTTAAAAGTCGAAATGGCTGCAAAACCAGTTTCACAGGGAAGAACTGGAACGTTTATTGGCTGATCTGAATGGTCAGTATAGATCAGCAGAAGAATTGATGTTGAATCCAAGAAATAAGGTGTGATTCTACAGTCACAAGTAAAAGAAATAGATGCAATGTTTGTGGAGTATTCTAAAGCTTATGAAATACATGTTGCAGAACTGCCAGTAGATGAAGAGGCTCAAAGAGTAGCTAAAGAATCTTTCCAGAGAGAAAGTTATGGATATGAAGAGTTCAAAGCACATGTTGAAGAGTGGCTTTCCAGACAAGAAAGCACACAAATCGTTGAGAATCCTCCATCAAAACCACAATCTATAGCTAGTAGAAAATCCTCTAATATGTCAAGACCTCGATCTGCAAGGACAGCATCGAGTTACAAAAGTACAAGTTCCAGTTACAAGAGAACTGAGGCAATAGCTGTCAGAGAACTTGCAAAATTGAAAATGAAGCAACTGTCAGAGTTGGAACAAGCCGAAGAAAAGAAACGGCAAGCTGAAGAATTAAAATCAGCATCAGAGAGAGAAATAAGGCGAGTACAAGCTATACACGAATATCAAGCCGCATGTGTAGAGGCGGAAGTGTGGGAAATAGGCTCTAATCGCAATGAAAGGGTTCAGTTTCAAGAAATGGATTCTGGACCACCGATAGCACAATTGGTAGAATGTGAAGCAGCACGGGCTGAAGTAAACACACCTCAAGTGGGTCAAACCAATTGTATTGTGCCTCCTAGAGAGCCACAAGTTAGATTATCCCTGGATCCGGTCCAGGAAGTGGTTGCGGAAGTGATGAATCCCGTTAATCAAGAATTTCGAACTAGACAAGGTGGAACGAGACAGGCTAATTTGGTGAGTCCTGTAGAAGTACCTAATATGCCATCACAAGATGTTGGCTCAATTCTTGCTACTATGACATCTACAATGCGTGACATGGTAGATTTACCTAAACCAGAATTACTTTCGTTTCATGGTTCTCATGAAGAATATACAAGATTCATGAATAGTTTCAAGATAAATATTGAGAACAAGATTTCAGATGACAATCTGAGATTACTTACTTGCAACATTTTGCAAAGGTAAAGCAAGAGAATTGATTCGTCAATGTTCTGTATATCCTCCTACAGAAGGATTGACTTTAGCAAAGAGACTTCTAAGAGAAGCTTACGGAAGACCATTGTTGATTGCCAGAACTTATATGGAAGAGTTAATACATGGTCCAATGTTGAAACCAGATGATCGAGATAGTCTTCTGGATCTTTCTCATAAAATGGAAGAATGTTACCTAACGCTGTCGCATTGGAAGCAATATTCAGATCTAAATAATTTTGACAATATTGCTCAACTTTCATGTAGATTACCCCTGAAGTACCATAATAAATGGGAAGAAGAGGCAGCAGATTATGAGAATAGAAACATTGAACTAAAATTTGAACATCTTTTAAAGTTTGTCAAGAAAGCAGCAATTACGGCACAATCATCGATGGGCAAAGCTATGAGAGCTCATAAAGAGAGGGAAAAGGCTAAACACCCTCAAAAGAAGAGAATTTATGCAAATTCCACTTCAACAAGTGGTGATGGCAAACCTGAACAATCTACCGAGAGAAAAGGTACATTTGTGAGAAATAGATACAGATGTGTTATCTGTTCAAAAGATCATTTTCTTATTCATTGTCCAGAGTTTGAAAGAAAATCTGCAAGTGAACGCGAGGCTACAATTCGTGAATTTCATATTTGCAGAAACTGTTTATACATTGGTCATATGGCACGGCAATGTCGTAAGAATCCTGCATGTACTGAGAGAGGATGTGGTGGCAGACATCATAGAATGCTTCATCGAAATGTTGCAGATACTAAGCGAAAAGAGCAAAGTACAAGTTCCGCTACTCAAACTGCTACATCGGGATCGACCTTAACGAACTATACCAGAAATTCAGCTGGAGTATACTTGAATATAGTTCCAGTGAAAGTATCCTCACCTCAAGGTAGAGAAATTGAAGTATACTGTTTCCTAGACGAGGGAAGCACCTCTTGTCTATGTGATAAAAGATTGATGGAACTTTTAGAGATGGATGGTGAACCAATGAGTTATTCCATTACTACTGTAAACACACCGAATCCACAGAAACAAGATGGATTCGCTCTTGACTTAACTGTTAAACCACTGAAAGGGGAAGGTTGTGTGACATTACATCGTGTGCTCACTGTGGATGAAATTCCGACAGTACCGAATAAATTACCTAAAAGGATTGAATTACAAAGGCATGAATATCTCGAGGGTATTGAATTTCCAAAATTACCAGATGAAAGAGTGATGCTCATGATTGGCGTGAATGTACCTGAAGTATTCTGGGTGAAAGATGAAAGCGTGGTACTACAAATGAACCAGTTGCAAAAAGAAGTATTCTTGGTTGGTCACTGGTCGGGCCTGCCTTTAATAAAGCTTCTGGGAATGAAAGTTTTCATGTACATGTTAATCATGTTGAAGTGAAAAGTGAAGATCTTCAACAACAAATTCGAGAGATGTGGGAAACGGATTTCAAAGATATATCATTGACTCCCACACCAACATTGTCAAGAGAAGATAAGTATGCATTACAACTGATGGAAGATAATATAAAGATGGTGGATGGACATTACCAATCTCCGTTACCATGGAAACCAGGATGTCCTGAATTTCCTAATAATCGTGATGCAGTTATGAGAAGAACCAACAATTTGGGAAAACGCTTGTTGAGGAATGATGTTTTAAGGGACAAATATTGCAGTACCATGGCTGAATTTATAAAGAAAGGATGGGCAAGGAAAATTCCTGCTGCTGAATTTGAAGCACCCATTGGTAAAGCGTGGTATCTTCCTCATCAACCCGTTACATCAGAACAGAAACCTGGTAAAGTACGCCTGGTATTTGATGCAGGTGCAAGATATTTGAACACATCACTGAATGATCAATTACTGCAAGGTCCAGATATGGCAAATGGATTGTTATCTGTTTTGCTACGTTTCAGAATGTACAAATATGGTATAACTGCAGATATAGAAGCTATGTTCTTACAAGCTCGTGTAACGCCTAGGGATGTTGATGCATTGAGATTCCTATTTTGGCCTGATGGAGATTTGACAAAAACTCCTGTCGATCATCAGATGTTAGTGCATTGTTTTGGAAATACATCAAGTCCATTTTGTGCAAATTACTGTTTAAGGAGAACTGCAGAAGATTTTGGAAAAGACTTTCCATCAGATATAAGTGACAATATCAAAGATAATTCATATATAGATGACTTCCTACTTGGAGCAGATAGTATATCTGAAGGGAAGAGAATTGTCAAGCAAACCTCAGAACTTACTGAATGTGGAGGTTTTCATTTAAACAAATGGAGGAGTAATTCAGAAGAAATTATTTCTTGTGTTCCAGAAAAGGATAGAGCACAAATTCAAGCAAACGTAAATTTAGACCCAAATCGTGTTGAACGAGTTTTGGGAGTTGTGTGGTTCGTGATAGAAGATTGCTTTGGATTTAATACAAAGCTGAAGACAAAACCTGCTACGAAAAGAGGAGTTCTAGCAATTCTTAGTTCCGTATTTGATCCCATGGGTATTGTATCACCTGTGATATTGCAAGCAAGACTTGGTATATTCCAAGAGTTATGTCGTCAACAATTGGGATGGGATGAAACTATCGGAGAAAATGAACAAATAGCATGGGAAAGCTGGACTAAAGCAATTCCAGAATTATCAGAAGTCAAATTACCAAGATACATTAAACCGAATTCATTTGGGGTTATTGTTTCACAAGAATTACATCATTTTGGCGATGCATCACAAGTTGCCTATGGATCAGTTTCATATTTGAGGTTATCAGATGAAAACGGTCAAATACACTGTTCGTTTTTACTTGGAAAATCAAGATTGTGTCCTATCAAGACAATATGTTCACTTCCACGGCTGGAAATTACAGCTGCTGCGCTTTGTGTGCGAGTGGATTTGTGTTTTTAAGACGTCAATTAAAATTTGAGAAGAATGTTAAGTCTATATTCTGGAGTGATAGCACAGCTACTATCCAATCAATTTACAATTCGTCGAAAAGATTTCCTACTTTCATAGCTAACCGATTAGCAAAAATTGAAGAAGGTTCAGAGCCACATCAATGGCGTTATGTTCCAAGTGAATTGAACCCAGCGGATTATGCATCCCGTGGAATGACAGCAAAGAAATTGATTGCAAAGAAATCATGGTTACAAGGACCAGAATTTCTCTACCAGAATGAAGAGAACTGGCCACAAATGCCAGTTAAATTACCAGATTTACCATTGGAATTTATTCAGAAAAAGCCAATGAATGTCCTAATTAATCTAGTGACAGAGAATGAACCATTGGACAAGTTCATCAACTATTATTCTTCATGGTATAAGTTGAAGAAAGCTACGGCATGGATTATCAGATTCAAAAATTATTTACAAGCTAAACCAACTGTTCAAAAAGGTGAATTGCAAACAGAAGAGTTGAGAAGATCCGAAAATGAGTTGATAAAGTATTTACAAAATCGTGAGTTGAATAAAGTTATTGCAAAGTTACAAAATTCTGATGTACAAGGGAAACGTGTGCTTAGAAATTTGAAAATTGCACCTTCAATGCAAAAGTTGAATCCTGTTTTAATTGAAGGAATATTGAGAGTGGGTGGAAGATTGCAGAACGCACCCATAGATTTTGATTTGAAACATCCAATAATACTGCCAAGTAATCATCATATCACACAGTTGATTGTCAGAGAATACCATAAAAGTTCACATCATTGTGGAGCAAGTCATACATGGAATTTGCTGAGACAGAAGTTCTGGATTATCAATGGATTATCAATCCAAGAAGAGAATGGTATTGGCAGAAGAGGAGTTTTTCCGGGTTAGTGTTGTCCGTGCTGAATGTATTGCACTATCCCAATGTTTCCACAAAATCATGGCATTTTCTTCTTCATATCTTCAAGTTATCTGAAATGGAATGTACAAGAAGTTTCAACAAAAAAAAGGCAAAATTTGAAAATACTATTCGATTTGCAAATAAAATTCAACATTTTTCAGTATTCAATCAACCAATCCGGTCTTTTTGCAACTTCTGGAAATATTTAATGGCGTGTACTAGCATTCATTACAATATCCAACCTTTCTATAAACTTCCATATTTTTCCCAGTATATTGCATACCTTTGTAGATCAGATGGAAACGGTATCTGGAATTATATTCAGAAGAAATCAAGCATTTAATACTCCCTGAAATCACACTCCAAATACATATTCCCAAAGCAGATGACAAAGTATCTCTTTTTGCAATTTAAAATTAACATTATAACCAACCTCAAATACTTCTTCTTCCTCATAATAACATGTTAGTAAATCCAATAATGTCAAATTTGAAGCCTAAGCCTGCTGTGGCAGACAATTTGTTCATGCCTTCATAATTAGATTCTTCAGTTTTCCAAAGGGAAAACACTGTTGAAAGCAATGTATTCATACCCAAACTTCATTATACTTGTATGATGAGTAATTTATGTGCATTTTTAATTTTACAAACTCAAAGCATGTACCAGTAAATTGGGCTGGCCTAAATCAAATATTTATTCATTCCCAATAAAGCTTGAAACAATTTTTAAATATGTAATATCAAATATGTTCAAATTCTGTATATAAATCTAATCCGTAAATAATTATATAGGCATATAATCAATTGATACCTGTATATTTCAAAGCCATATTCTTCAAGCTACAGTGTATTAATGCTGCAATGCAGTAACAGAGTAATGGTTCAACATCACCCCTTCTCCCAGTCTCTTGTTCCCCGTAGATCTGCGATCGACACGAAGCGTCTGTTGATATTTTCCCCCTTATCTTAATTCCGTAATTAGATACCAACATTTCAAAGCCAGAAAGCCTAGATCTGTATAAGGGCCATTCCAAGCAAAAGTTGAATTCCATCAATTTTTTAAAAAGTGTAGTGAAATTATTTTTTTTTTACTTTTGATATCAAAAGACATTGGAATTTTATTGGACTGCATTCATTTCATTGAACAATTTAAAATTTCACCCAGGTTTTTGATGGTTTTTAAAAAATGGCCTGAAATGTATAAATTTTGGTATAATTGACATATTTTGTGATGATTCCTGACACAAAGTGTTTGATTGTGTGGTACAGTTAGTTCATATGGAATTGACGCACTGTGTTAGCGAGAATCATAAAGTGTTTCTAATTTGATGACGTTTTACGTTGTTACGCAGACGTTGCAAACGTATCGACGCAGCATTATTGCGACAGAGTTCTGTTTCTCGATTAATCCCGGGAATTCTAAATTATCGCCACGCTGCTTCGATGAGTTGGCACCGTCTGTCCTTGTATACAGTGTAATCTATTGCGCTAGGAGTTGTTTATCGTGTTTAATATTGGGTTTACTATTTGCGGTTGGGATAAACGATTCGAATGGAAATTATTAATTGGGTTTAAAATCAAGGGTTCATACGGGAGTTGTAATATAATGTAGGGATACAGGTTAGGGTTGTATTATAGTCCAAATAGAATGATAACTGTTGTTCTTTATATTTAGTCACATAAGTTAAGTTGTATTTACTTTGGATTATAAATTGTTGAATTGAGTTGCCTGGAGATCCTAAATATTCGGTATGTAAATATTGTTTTATCTTGTATGATTTATTCTGTATTTTAGTATTGTGAATACTATTTTATCCTGTGTGATTTAATCTGTACATAATTGTGACATATGGTTATCTGCTAATTGATGTGAATTGTTATTGCTTGTAAAATGGTACTGCTGTTATATTCGATTAATTGTGCCATATAAGCTATTTAGTTTTATCTATTATTTTGGCAGAAAACCGTTCCTTTAACAACGTTACGTTACGTTCCATTAACAACGTTCCTTTACGTTCCTCATACCCGGTATCAAGATTTACGTTACGTTCCATTAACAACGTTCCGTTTCCGGTACCCGGCAAGTTCTATTTTCCTGATTCATGTTTCGAGATTTGATTTGAAGTGTCTGTTGATTGTTATTAAAGATATTCACCGATTTCAAGTTGAATTATATTGGGGCAGCATTTGAAAGGCACAGAAGAATCTGGCGGCACTTTAACCGCTGTTTACAGACTTTAATTGCTTGAAAGCACGGACTAGTTGTAACAATTAACCGATATAGGTTTGGGGTCAGGACTGGGGTATTGGGACGCGTTTTTGAAGTCTCCAATCTCTTAATGTGCGTGAGAAGTAACCAGGCTACATAGAATCGAGCGCAACACACTGGATTTAAGTTAATAAAGTTTGAATGTTTGCAGTGCTGTAGAACATTTCTTCACCCATTTAACGATTTATTACCAGAATTTTAAGAGATGATAGATGCCGCTATTCCGAAGTGGAAAAATGTCCTGTAGTGTCACATACAATATGCACATTATTGGCATGGATTTACAGTGTTACATTAAGTAACTTGAGCAACACATAGAGGGGTAGTTCAGCTACTGCACCAGAAAATATTATGGGCTCCTACTGTACCATCGCAAAAATTTACAGCACAACACAACGTACTGTTAGTGCATGGTGGATTTGCCGTCCTGTAGTGTCACGCTATATTTTACTATATTTTTTTTATCTACCAAGTAAGGTTGGGTGTAACTTTTGTGCAATTTTTTACATATTCAATAAAGCAACTGATTGGACAATGAAACAAAACATGTAGCTGAAAATGTGAAAAATATATTGAATCTAACAACATGCAAAATTTCTGGAATTGTCCCGTAGTGTCACTTGGAATAGCCCATAAACTGAGAGAGGGCATATTGCAGTATATTGTATTTATATTCCTGCATTCTGGCTTTTGTCAGTGTACTGCAGTAATGACAAAAATTGAGACTTGTTGGAAATACGAATCAAGTTTATGCTGTGTTAAGTATCCATAGACATAACAGTGTAACATGGATGTAGCCTACTTACGTCAGTACGTACGTCGTAAGATGGTCTAGCCCAGTGATTCCCAAAGTGGGCGATATCGCCCCCCGGGGGGCGAAAAGTTGAAGGGGGCGATAGGGGGGCGATTTCGCAAAACCTGTTTTTAGTCGGCGCATGGTGCACTTGATTACTGTACTCTGCGTGCTTTCGTACGTTTGAATCACGTGGGCGAATATCAGACGCGAAAGGATTGCTGGACTCGCTGAATTTTCGGTGTTTATTTTAAGAGTGGTTTCGCGAGTTGTTGCCTATAAAATGAAGTATTCGTTTCAAACTATCATTCTAATTCATACCATTCAACAATCTGTTTTTTAAAAGTACCGGTAAAGAATTTTAGCCTAGTCTTTCACAGCTATTCTACACTAATTTTTGATTACTGTAATTAAACTGAAACTCCTAGGAGGACAAAGTGTCCATTGACTTATTTTATTTAAATTTCCGAAAAACAACTAAAAACTAACGAATATAATTCAAAATCGCGAAAATGAGGTAATGTTCACGACTACGCCTAAAAGTCTGTTTGAGTGAGGAATGTGTCTGAGCGAATGCGAAAGGGGGCATTGTTACATTTATTTTTGCATCTTGCTGATTGGCCAAGTAAAGAAGTAAGTCTTTGCCAGGGGGAAACATCCGAACGGCGGTTTTAACGATGAATTAATTTTATTTATCATCTACGCTCGAGGAGTAAATTGCATTTCTTTTTACGTAACAGAATTTATCGTGAGACACGTTTAGACTGAATTTTATTATATTCTAAAAATTATATTGAACAGCTACTCGTTTAACGAGCCTACAATTTAATTATAATTAGGCAAATGGAAACACGCAGAAAAGTTGATGCTGAGTGCAGTGGTTTAATAGCGCGACTAAGACGACTGAGTTGAGTTCACGAATTGTCGGAGTTTTTGCACGATGTTCCGTTTTTAACTTTCAAAAATATATGCGATCCGCAAAAGAATAGCAATCATAATTTTGTCCCGCGAGCGACGTAAAATTTGCCGACCCCTGAGCCATCCGAGTCCACGAATCCAAAACAAATGGCTGATTAATGCTATGGACTCTGGTGATCGGACTGGAGGACGTGGTAGGATGAGGCATGGGGGGATGAATTTTACCGAAGACCCTATATATATCATGTATTTTGGTGAAGGTCGTCATGCTGTAGGGATGAATGACATGTACCTAAATCATTATTATAAGTTTTGAAAAATTAATTTTGTTTTCATTATTTTAATGTGAAATGGGGTGGATTTAGGGAGTTAAATGCTATAAGGCAAGAGTACACGGCGGTTTTTAAGGAGGTAGAACCCTGGATTCTTCCATATCCGACCTCTGATATGGTGAAAAGGGGGTTTTCAGCCGTGAAACTATTGCTATCAAAACAACTAAATTGCCTTTCCATCAGTAAATGGGGTAATTTTAGATGTAATAAAAAACTCGCTGAAGAATACCAAGCTCATCCATCTCATTAAAAAAGCACTATAAACTATGATTTGTCTTCTTATTTGGTCTGTAATATATGCGTTTCAGACTTTCAATTATTTTTGCAGTGCCGGGGGGCGATGAAGTTGTATAAACTAGTGTAGGGGGGCGATGGTACAAAAAGTTCGGGAACCACTGGTCTAGCCAACCCTGTACTGCTATACTGCAGTACTGGCAGACTGCTGGACTGGTATAGCTTTGAAGCAGAATATATTAATTGGTACGGTAGATCATGCCCTACTACAATCACACTAAACAATACAATATTCAATACAATACAATATTCAACGCTAAACAACACATCTCCTACACTGACATTATTGAATCCAAGCTGCCTTGCTTATACTGCCAAGTCAGGAATATCAAAGGCAACTAACGTATAACTGCTGTCGACTGACGTAAATATCGTCATATCAAAG